AAAACTCTCATTTGTTTGGGAAAATATCCGGATGTGGATTTATAGTCTGTCTGTAATTGATTTCGTTGTCTTTTCAAGATTTTGGGATTCCTAATCTCATTTGAACGATTGTTCACTTGTGTAATTTTGAGACTAGGAACACTAATCATTTGGAGAAGAATTATTGTAATCATTGGTAATGGACCTTTGTGTGTTGCTTCTTTGTGCAGGGAACTTCTTTACAAACCAATTGTGCTATGTAAGTTGTTCTATGTCTCAAGACAATCACAACTATTTCTTTCCTTTTAGTTTCTAATGTTTGTTTTGGTATTGCAATGCAGCATGTGGTCATCTATCATGTTTCTGGTGCGTCCATAAGTCCATGAATGGTCTGGAAGAGTCTCATTGTCCGATATGTAGAGACCCGTATGTTCATTTCCCGACCGTATGCCAAAAGCTTCATTTCCTGCTAAAGAAGATCTACCCACTTGCGCATAAGAAGAGAGAAGAACAAATTCTAAGTGAGTTTCTTTGCTTACATATTTCCTATGCACTTTCTCTTTTTCTTAGGTGTAACTGTTGCTGCATGGTTTGTTAATGTCATGTTTCAGAGGAGGAACAAGAACAAGACTGTTTTTCTCCTCAGATTGATGTTGTCTTGGATGAACAAAAGGCTAAGGGTGAGTCTTTGTGTAGTGGAGGTTCCCTAAATGTCTCTTGTGAGTGTACTTACCACACATGGGATCTGTTTTTGAATTTATTGCTTTCTAAGAAATTGATCTCTTGCAATTCTATGCATTTAGATGATCAGAAGGTGGAAGAGTGCTCTAATGAAGCCAAGTTATCATCACCCAGCAATGAAGAACCCAAGGATGCAACAAGTCTTCATGTTCATGAGAATGACTCATCTAAGGATAACAAAGTCAGTAAGCAGATTTCAAAAGATGATTTGCTCTGTTCAGCATGTAAGGAGCTGCTCGTGCGACCAGTAGTACTCAATTGCGGACATGGTATCATCTTGCTTTCGATAAATACTTATACTTTCGCATTAGCTCGTGTGTGCTAATGTTCCTGTCTCATCCTTTGTTCCAGTGTATTGCGAAGGATGTGTAGTAGATATGGCTGAAGAAAGCGAAAAGATCAAATGTCAAGAGTGTCATGTTTGTGACCCAAGAGGATTTCCAAAAGTTTGTTTGGTTCTTGAGCAGCTTTTGGTGGAAAATTTTCCTGAAGAATACAATTCAAGAAGAAGTGGAATCCAGAAAACACTTGCTCATAATAGCAAAGGAAGTAAGTTCTACATACATGCCATTTCCTTGGTGCTCTCAAAGCTTACTTTTTGATGTTAACATTGAATACGTGAGTAATCTATGACGCAGAAACTTATAATTTGTAATCATTTTCTAGATGTTCAAAGCTATCACAAAGAAGGCACTTCTTTATCAGACAACAACAACGACAATGGTCTTCCCTGGTGGCCAAACCCTGGATCTAATGTTCACATCGGAGCTGGTTGTGATTCTTGCGGAGTAAGTAATAACCAATTGTTAAGTAACCTAAAACCAAAAACATGTGAAGGAATCTGAGATAGGTAACGTGTGGTTTTGCAGGTGTATCCAATTATAGGGGATAGATACAGATGCAAAGACTGCAAGGAGGAGATTGGTTACGACCTTTGCAAAGAATGTTACGAGACTCCTTCAAAAGTTCCAGGGAGATTCAACCAGCAACACACTCCAGAACACAGGCTTGAGCTCGCGGAGGTTCCTCAGTTTCGGTTTCGGTTCAGTCTCAACAATATCGGTTTGCTTCTCGGACCTCCTACGGTTAACTCAACAGTTGAAGGCGTGAGTGCAGAAGAAGATCATGATGAGAGCGAGGAAGGGCCTCCTGAGTCTAATGAGTCATCATCAAGCACAGATTGAAATAGCAGTCTGAGAGTGTGTAGGAATCTTATAGAGAGAGAGATATGGTGTGTACTTGTTTGTATAAAAATATATCTATGGTTTTAAACATTTTAAACAAAGTTCATTTGTTAATTATAAACGTTTAAACGCAAACATCACCATAATTTTGGCTCCAATTAGTAACAGTGATGCGGAAATATAATTAGGTTGTGGAATGATCTTATATGCAGATATGAAAAACTGCAAATTGAAAATTTTGTATGATTAGATAAGTTCTGCCGAAAGACGGAATATAAACTATATAAAACAAATAAATTTACTGAAATATGTTTTCCTTATATTTTATCTATTATATGATATATTGTAAAAAAAATATATATATATATCATATAATATATAAATATTATTAGAAAATATTTATTTTTCTTTGTAATTATTACTTACTTATTATTAGTTTTTTTATGAAATACAATTTTTAATTAATGAACTAGGTTTTTTCACTCACGTTTTTAAATATTATTTTGATAAAAAAAAATATATGCAATTATTTAACTTGGTAAACATCATTGAGCTCTTTCTTTAAGAACTCTATCTACTAATATTATTGCTATTAATATTATTTTTTATGAATATTATTTTTATGAAGATAAGATAAGATAAAGCAAAAAATGTGTTCTATGATTTCTATAGTTTGGTTACTTATTATTATTATTTTGTGTATATTTTGAAATAATATTTTTATTATTATTTTGTGTATATTTTGAAATAATATTTTTATTATTATTTTTTAAAAAGGTCACATTTTTTTATGGGAGAATTTCAGATTTAACCCATATTTCAAAATCAAACACCAAACTAACCTCTTTTTTTCTCTCTCCAACTTTTGCCATTTTCTCACAATTTTATCTTTCCCACTTAAACTATTAACGAAAATACCATTATACATATATTATTTTGATTTTTCTTTAATTTGGCTAAAGTCTCCTTGGACCTTCTAAAGATTTTTTTAATTACGAGAATGCCATCTTCTTCAATTTCTTCAACCACCATGAACAACCATGAAAATGGAATAAATGCTTCTCAACCAATTTTAAAGCTGTAATAAGTAAATATTTGAGCTCATTCACTCATAACTTTCCTCATTCTTTCATAATTTCTTCTCCAAAACATCTGGGCTAAGTTACAATGCCAAAAGTCATGCATTTTCGGTGATTTCTGGTTACTTGACATCTGGGTAGCTTATTTTTGGTGAAATCCTGAATTCTGGGTGCTTAAAAGAACTGTAGCCGAGCTCAATTTTGTTAAAGGTAATCGTCGCACTTCAATTTCTCCATATTTCAGTTTTCATATCGCGAAAGTAGACTTCTCGTGAAGTATACTGAAGTCTACTAGTCAACATAAGGTTATTTTTGCAATTGACTTTTAAAAAGTAGACTTCATTAAACCTCACGAGAAGTCTACTCGATATCCTTTGAAAACAAAAATGTAGACTTCATTTGAAGGCTTAAGAAGTCTACGAAAGAAAAAAGGTTATTTTTATAGTTGACTGTATTTTGACTTTTTAATGTAGACTTCTTTATAAAGTCTATTGTGTACGTCTGCACAAGAAGTCTACTTTTAAGTTACTTTTGTAGTTTGACCAAAAACGTATAGGTCATTTTAGTGTTTGACTAAAGTTTTTTAAAAAATAAAAAATTTAGAAAACTCCGGAAAGCTGCAGTAGACTTCAGAAAGAAGTCTAAAAATTGTAGACTTCTTTGGAAAGTCTACTTATATTTTTCGGTCAAACTTAGAAGGAATTTTTTTTTAGTAGACTTCACAGTGAAGTCTACTAAAGATAGTTAATTGCAAAAATAACCTTTTTTTTCCATAGACTTCTATTGAAAAAGTAGACTTCAAAAGTAGACTGTCAGAGAAGTCTACTCTTACATGAAGTCTACAATAGAAGTCTACTTTGTTAGTCAATGGCTTGGTCAAATGCTAAAGTAACATTTTTGGCCGGAAGTCTACTTCTGAAGTCTACTGAAGGAAAAGTCAACGAATTGGTCAATTGCAAAAATAACATGTTTTTTAGTAGACTTCTTTAGTAGACTTCACTATGAAAAAGTAGACTTCTTCGCCAGTCTACGTTTGAAGTCTGCTTTAGAAGTTTACTTATTGTAGTTTTTTTAAAACGCGTTTTAGAAAAATTTATAAAGTATTTTTTTATTTTTTGGATTAGAAATGCTTTTTATGAAGTGATTGAAGTACCCAGTGAATTTCATTTCATTTCATTCGATATTTATTGTTGAATCAGAAGTTTTGATTTTTAAGCTAGTTAGCTTATTAAAGTAGACTTCTCCAGCAGTCTACGGATGAAGTCTGCACACGAAGTCTGCTCGGTATCATTATTTTAAAAACAAAACACAGAATATATATAAATTATTTTTTGTATTTTTAGGTTTTGGAATGTGTGTTACCAACTGTTCTAATTACTCAATGAGTTTCATTTGTTTTAAGTCGATATTTATTGTAGAATCGAATTTGTTGATTTAATAGCTAGTTAGCTTGGAAGAATAGACTTCATCTCCAGTCTACAGATGAAGTCTGCAGACGAAGTCTCCTATATAAAAAATTTGTTACTTACATTTTTGCAATAATGTAGTTTGTAATTTCGTTTGCTAATATGGTTTTTTGTGTTTTATTACAGAAAATGATCAACTCCATAAAAATAAATCTTCAAAAATTCTAAAAGATTGTAGAGTCATTTTTAAGTTCTCTTGTAAATAACACTAACCCCATTCTTCTGTTTTTTTTTCTTTTTTTTTTTGGATTTGACATACTTTGTGATTTGAAAACTGAGGCAACATTCAGTTACTTCAAAAAAATTGTGACATTGAATAAACATGTAACAGCAATCCATTCTTCTTCTATTTTGTGGTTTTAAAACTGGTGCAAAATCAGTCACTTAAAAATTTTATTTAGAATTAGTTTATGGAACTTTTCTTTGCACCATACTCTGAACCATTATATTTTGTCCATATAGAATAATTTGATTATGTTACATATTTGATAAAGATACATAAAAATAACGGTTGATGACAATTAAAAGACTACTACAGTTGATGATTATTACAATTAATGACCATTAGAGACAAAATTGATAATCATTACACAAAAAGAGATCATGAGCAAACAGAAGATTAATTATTTACTTATTGGGTTCTGTTTTGTAAATGAGCTTAATTGTTGTGTTGGGCACTTGGGCCTGTTAGGACAAAACTCCCTACCCGTCTCTGATGTCGATGGTGGAGAAAATGGAGATGACGGTGACGAATTTTTGAGATTTCTGAGATACTGCAAATGAAAGAAGTCAACTTAAGAAGTCTGCTTTCGAAATCAACTCAAGAAGTCTGCTTTCGGAGATGACAATGATGAATTGTTGAGATTTGTGAGATACTGCAAATGAAAGGAGTAAGAATTAAACATCAACCCAAGTAACAAATCTAATAAAGAAGAGGAAGAGGAGGTTTCCAAGAAACACATAATCACAGATCTGATTACTAAACTAAATCAAATTAGTTCTGACACTCAGATCTTAGTACATTATGAATAAAAAAAAAATTCAAAGTGGATCCTAATTAAATAAAACCAAAATTTCTGGACAAAACATCAACTAATAAGTAAAAAGAAGAAACTTGAAAAAGCTAACAATTTGAACCAGACATCAAAGCCATACACAGACAAAGCTGCACGGCGGTGAGGAAGTCGACGGTGGACCTCTTTTGTTGCTCACTATGTTGAGGTCACCTACAGTGAAGATCAAACAAACGTTTTCCTAAAAACAAAAAGCAGAGTATAATCTAAAGAGAGATTTCTAACCTGAAACAGCATAGAAAAAGACCTCGGGCAGCTCGTTCGCAAGCAGAATTAAAAAAATCGATGTTCTCGTTGAATCTGAAACAGAGGGGAAGCACCGTTTTAGAGAGAGAAGTTTGAGTTTTCATTTTTACAAAATTAGGGTTACAAACGTAGGCTTCCTTTATATAGGGAGGTACAAATTTTGGTTAAATGAATAATTTTTGGTTCAATTTTGGTTTATGTATTGGTTAAATAATTATTTTTGATTTTTTTGGTTAATATAAATATTTATTCGGTTTTGTTTAGTTTCTCTTGGTTAAGGGAAGTTATTCCCGGTTTAATTTCGGTTTAAATTTCGGTTAGGTTAATTTATTCGGTTAAGTAGACTTCAATATAGAAGTCTACAACTTTTAAAACCTAAATAATAAATTACTTCTACTTAAATTTAAAAACATACATTTCCATTTACCAATATGAAAAAATAATTTCTGTACATTTGTGTTACGATTACGGAATTTATGAATGTAAATTTGATACCAAAATAATTTTTAAAAAATTTTAAAATTAAATTTACAGATTTAATTATTTAGTAGACTTCATTTCGATAAAATGAAGTCTACTATTAGACTTTTTTTCACTTTAGTAGACTTCGTCAAGGTGTAAACAGTAATTAGGACATTCGCTTTTTGTTTACTCATACAGATTTAAATGGTCTTTTCACTGCCCCTTTAGGTTATTTCTGCTAAATGTTTTTTCAGAGGTCTATTTCTATATTCAAAGTCAAGTTTGGGGTTATTTTTAGCAAAAGTCCATTTTTGTATTCGTCTAAAGCCTCAGCTAGCCTGAGCACGACATTGAGTCTTGGATTTACGCTTCTGTTCTGGTGGGTGGGCTTGTGTTCATAATATTAAATTTTAAGAGTCTCCCCATGGTCTACAAAGTTGCAAACGGTAGGGCTATTCATGTCAAGCACTTCAAGATTATCTTGGATTTCAACACTGCGGAGAGTGTTCTTTTCAAGATTGAAGTAGAACACATCAAACAACGCGGAGAGTGTTATTTAAATGTATATCTCTCCCACAAAACAATTTCCCCTGAAGCCGTCATTCCAGCAACATCGAACACATTGCACTTACACGGCAAAGTATATACAAGTTTCGATCAAAGTATGCAAACCTTATGTTATGTGGTAATGTATCTTCATACCCAAGTTTCACACATTGGATGATGTTACAGTTTCAAACATAAGACCTAATCTACCTTCGTCTGTTTTTTTTTTTTCTATGGTTTTATTATATAGAACATGGAAGAAATTTCCTAGGTATAGAATAAGAAAGAACGTATGTAACAATTCACATCTCAAAATTTTAGATGACATGATAAATTTATATATAATAAGAATCATAGGACCGAATCAGATAACCAAGATGAATATTCATGATTGTAAATTCTTAAAAAAGACTACACAGACACAACACAAAGATTTTTAGAAAACGTGACTAGGTTGGTTAGAGATCACTATCATGGCATCATCACAATAACTCTCTTATTTCACTGAAACTCTTGATTGTTCCTCGCAGGAAAAAAAAAAAAACAGGAATATATAATAAACTGCACTTTTCAAGACTACAACCTATATTAAATAGAACTTTTAGCCGACTTGGGAGCCAGAGATCGCAATCAGGTTTTGAGACAGGTGAATAAATCATCATCTAAATGACGCAGAGCATCAAACTTGTTAATGCTCTCAAACGTACCAATATCTTGTTGCATGTGAGCTTTAGATGATGTTGATGTGCTTGTGGATTTACGCTTCTCTTCTGGAGGGCTTGTAGATGTTGCATCATTTGTTGTCTTCATAATATTAAATTTGAGATCCTCTACATGGTCTAGAAAGGTGTAAACTTTATTGTTAGAAATGCAAAACGCATCTCCAAAACCCTCTTCTTCGATTTCAACACATTGGAGAGTGTTCCTTTCTGGATTGAAGTAGTAAACATAAAATGGAGTACATGGATATCTCATCGACAGCACAATATCACCTGTAGCTGTAGCTCCAACCACGTAAACTTCATAATCGCAGTCAACGAATTTATCATTCGGAAAAGTGTAGACATATTTTGACAATTCCTGTTTCTCGGCATCCTCTAGAACCCACATATGCAGCTCAGGCCTTCTACCACAGTAAACACCAAAAGTATCCCAACTAATCCCACTTAATTTACCCTTATAGTTTATCAAATTTGCAGTATAGCATCCTTCTGCCTTAATGAATTTGTATTTCTCAGACTTAACATCAAAGCAAACTACCACTGAAAATTCCATTAATTTGATAAGCCATGTAATACAAAACTCCATCAATGCATATCCCATTTTCGGTGGAAGGATCATGGGTTAAAGGACATTGGATCTTCCTCCAACTCATTTCTTCAGTTCCTAATGTCATAATTCTATATAGATCATCATCATAACATGGATCACCCATGCACAACACCTTGAATTGTTTGTCAATCGGATCAAACCCTAAAAAGCTTATTGGCCTTCCGTCTCTTGACTTACTGTACCAAGTCAGTTTAGGTAAGCTCGCACACTGACCTGTGCTAGGGTTATATATGACGTGCTCTGCTTCATGGACACCTTTTGAGATCGACATAAGACGGTTGAGACAGATCAAACCAGATGCATAGCCACCAAACTGCATCCACGGCATGTTCAAATGAGAATCGGCGGAAACTATAAGAGACGCCTTATTCTCATATGGATTATGAGGTTGAGGCGACGAGAAGAAGCGAAACTCAGGGATCCCAGCTTCTTCGATGGCAAATAAGAGACGTGGACGAGCCGAGGACTGGTCAAGAACAACTCGTGGAAATATGGACTGTGAAACATGGAACTCCATAGCTTCGACACGCAACAAAACCTATGGATTGTCTTTGCAGGAAATCTCGAGAGTATCTCGATAATGATATCGATCGGGATGGAATTCATTAGAAAGAGATGAATAAAAAGTTTAGCAAGTCCAGTACTAAACCCATAGAAGGGTTCATCAGCATTAAAAAACAATATTTTTTGGTTTGGGTAGTTTGGGAAAAACTCGGATGAAAATAAGGTTTTAATAGTGAATTCATTATGGGGTTCATCCCGAAAAAAAATCGCAAACCCTAAAACTCAAATCGGACAAAAATCAACGAAAACAGAAGGACAGATACTAACTTTGCTGATGTAGACGGATGGGCGATCCTCGGATGAACAAACCACCACAAATTGATGCCAGTCTAAACGATTTCGACGGAGTCGTCGCGAATCGCAGGTGAAGAGGAAGAGAGGAGAAGAAAAGAGGGGAAACACGAAATGAAATTTTTGCCCAAAAAAATTTTCCTTTCCCGAAAATTACCACGATATCTCCACCAATCGGAGTGTGACACGTGGCTAAGAGGCGGGTCGTCAAGCTCGCACGGACAAACCGATCCGTCAATATTGGACTTTATTTCTTTTTTTTAAATCGATTTTGCCTATGAACCCGGACCTAAACTCCTTGTTGTAAAACCTCTCCGATCACTCACGCTTGAACTTGATTTCCGATCGATTTACACAATGAGAATCGCTCGAAGTTGTGAATACAGGAATCTAAATGCACACAAGAATTTATCCAGTTCAGGTGCAAATCGCAACCCTACGTCTGGCCGAGGATTTCCCTGGAATCCACTAAGAGAATAGGTTTGATACAAGACGACGATACACCGGAAACTTTCCGAGAAACTCGCTTTCACTCACCGGAAAAAACTCACAAGCCTCTCTTTCGGAAAACCAGAACCCAGAAAAGAAAACTCTCACCCGATCTTTCTTCTCTCTTGTTCTCTAACCCGAATTGAATCTCTCTCAATTACATATATCGCTAGCTAAATCTGTAACAACCTGTAACAAGATTTTGTTTCGCAATACACTCAGACTCTAACGGTCATCTTCGAGATTCAGCTCTTGAACCAGCTCAAACCAGAGCTAAACGGTGTCGCTTCTTGTATCCAATAACCGGCACCTAATCTGAAGTCAAACCAGACTCCAATGCCTCCGGTTCAATTCAATTTGACCTTTGCCCTGAACCAATAGACTTAAACCAATATCAACAAACTCCTCCTTGGTTTAGTCTGCAACATCCTATTCCCTCAGACGAACTCCATCCTCGGTTCCCATCTCCGATCAACCTTCAGAGACACCAAGCAAGCTCAAGAGACCTCTGAACTTACTTGTCGGTAACACTTTGGTGAACACATCAGCCGGATTGTCACTGGTGTGTACCTTAGTTACCTTAATCTTTCCAGCTTCAATTCTGTCACGAACATGGTGGTACTTTGTCTCCACGTGTTTAGTTCTTTCGTGGTAGACATTATTTTTGGCCAACGCCAAAGCGCTTTGGGAGTCACAAAAGATTTCCACGCTTTCCTGTGGATAACCAAATTCTGCACTTAGACCTCTGAGCCACACTGCTTCCTTTGACGCTTCACACATCGAGATGTATTCGGATTCAGTAGTGGATAGAGCCACAACCTTCTGAAGTGTGGACTTCCAGCTTACAACATTTCCTCCTGCCAAGAAAGCATAACCAGATAACGATCTCCGTTTGTCCAAGTCCGCTGCATAGTCAGCATCACAGAATCCATGAACCTTGAAATCAGAGTTCTTCCTGAACTTCAAGTTCATTCTTGTAGATCCCCTAACGTATCTTAACACCCACTTCACAGCATTCCAGTGCTCCTTCGTCGGATTACCCATATATCTGCTTATCATTCCCACGGGATAAGCCAGATCAGGCCTTGTTCCGATCATCCCATACATGAGACTACCAACAGCATTAGCGTATGGAACACCTTTCATGAACTGAGCATCTTGCTCTGCTTGCTCCTCAGTTGCAGCTTTTAACTTGAAATGCATACCAAACGGTGTAAGAACCGACTTTGCCTGATCCATATTAAAGGTTCTCAGCACCTTTTCCATGTAATCCTCTTGAGACAATCTTAGAGTTCCAGCTTTCCTGTCTCGAATTATGTCAATGCCAAGAATCTTCTTTGCAGAACCCAAGTCTTTCATTTCAAATTTCAAACTCAACTGTTTTTTCAAGTCAGCAATCGCTTCTTTATCTTTGCAAGCAACCAACATGTCATCAACATAAAGTAACAGATACAGTAAAGTACCTGAATGGTTTCTTATGTAAACGCAGCTGTCACGTTTACTTCGTATGAAACCTATCTCGAGCATGAACTCGTTAAACTTCTGATTCCACTGCCTGGGGCTTTGTTTTAGACCGTACAAAGACTTCTTTAGGAGGCAAACCCAGTTCTCTTTGCCTTTTTCTTCATAACCTTCAGGTTGAGACATGTAGATCTCCTCCTCAAGCTCTCCGTGCAAAAATGCAGTTTTTACATCGAGCTGTTCAAGCTCCAGGTCTTCATTAACCACAATAGACATCAGAAACCTGATAGAGACGTGTCTTACAACTGGTGCAAAGATCTCGTTGTAATCCACCCATTCCTTCTGTGCATAACCTTTGGCCACTAGTCTAGCCTTGAACCTTGGCTTCTCAACCCCAGGAATTCCTGGCTTCTTCTTGAAAATCCACTTACAACCAATGACTTTTCTGTTCTTCGGTTTCTCTACCAGAATCCAAGTTTGATTCTTGTGAAGAGAGTCTATCTCTTCATCTGATGCTCCAAGCCACTGGTCGCTTTGCGGATCTCTCATAGCTGCTTTGAAGTCACTTGGTTCCTGAGGATCAATCTCTTCAGATACAAGCAAAGCCATATGCACAAAATCATCATACTTCTTTGGAGGTATGATTTGTCTTCTCGGTCTGTCCCGAGCTAAGACATATTCCCCTGAATCGTTGTCATCTGATTCATTTCCTGAGTCCTCTTCCTCTGAACATAGATCAATCGGATTATCTCCGGATGCCAACCTATCTTCACTCCTTAAACCCTGTTGATCTCCTCCTGAGCTGATATCACCTTCTTTTTCCATACCAAGCTCAATATCCAGGAACTCCGTATTCCTTTCTTTTGACACACCAAGCAATTTCGCCAAATCTTTGTAACATTCTGTTTCCTTGAATGTAACATTCCTGCTAATTATGCTTCTCCTGTCATCCAAAGACCAAATTTTATATCCTTTAACACCAGGAGGGTAACCTATAAAGATTCCCTTCTTCGCCCTAGGTTGCAACTTCCCATCATCAGTGTGATAAAAACAAACACAACCAAATCTCCTTAAGTGGTTAAAACTTGGAACTGTTTCTGACCAAACTTCTTCAGGAATTTGATCTTGAATTGCTGCAGACGGAGTTCGATTTACAAGATATACCACGGTATTAACGGCTTCAGCCCAGAAAGCCTTTGGTAAGCCTGATTCACTAAGAACACTTCTTACCCTTTCAAGAATCGTTCGGTTCATCCTTTCCACAACTACATTTTGTTGTGGAGTGTGAGGAATAGTCCTGTGACGAGCAATCCCATTCTGAGCACAATATCCATCGAAGTCTCTGTTGCAGAATTCTAATCCGTTGTCAGTCCTTAGTTTCTTAACCTTTAGGCCAGACTGATTTTCAACCAACAGCTTCCACTCAACAAACTTCTCAAAAGCTTCATCTTTAGTTTTTAAGAAGAATACCCACACCTTTCTGGAATAGTCATCGATCAAGCTGAGAAAATAATGACATTTTCCAAGCGACTGAGGCACAGACGGAGAACCCCACAAATCTGCGTGTACATATTCTAAACACGCCTTACTGGAATGTTTTCCTGATGAAAAACTTGATCTATGAGCTTTTCCATAGATGCAGCTCTCGCAGAACTGGAGATCCGTGATCTTCTTGCTCTTCAAGTATCCCTTTTTCACCAGTATGTCCATTCCTCTTTTACTGACATGGCCAAGTCTACTGTGCCATAGATGAGTTTCATCATCAGAATCGACCACATTAGCTTCGTCAATGAAACTCTTACCCTGCAGAAAATATAACTTTCCTCTTCTGCTGGCCCTGAGAACTATCTTACTGCCCTTTCTGATATTCAGAACTCCTTCTTCTGACGAGAAAGTGCATCCTTGTTTTTCAAATGTTCCAAGAGACAACAAGTTCCTTGAGAACTCCGGAATGTACCTGACATCCTTGATCAGCACAAAACTCCCATCAGAGTTTTTCAACCGTATAGTGCCTATACCTTTTACGGCAGAAACGGTCTCATTTGCCATCCTTACTGAACCTGCATTACACTCCCTGAGCTCAACAAACCAGTCCTTTCTAGGTGTCATATGGAATGTACACCCTGTATCCAAGATCCAAATCTCATTGAAGTCCACCCCTTCAACTGCATTTGCCTCAGAAACTACGAGTGACTCTATGAACTCAATGGCTGTAACAGCAGATGATTCACCTTGTTCCTTCGTCTTGTCACTGCCATTTTGATTTGACTTCTTTGGACAATTCCGTTTGAAGTGCCCCTCACCTCCACAGATCCAGCACGTGAGTGAGCCCTTACTCTTTGACTTTGAGTTTTGCTTACCCTTTGACTTGTTCTGTCCTGAGTCTTTTCCAGTTCCCTTTCCCTTATTTGAGTTGTTTGAATACAACACTTCCCCTTGAGTTTTTCCAGTCTTTGAGCTAGCACTGAGTTCAAGTTGCTTTGAACGCAGGGAGTTCATAACACCATTCAACGTCAAGGTATCCTTTCCATATCTCAATGTGTCACACAGATGTTCAAACTGTTTAGGTAAGGACATCAATAGAAGAATGGCTTGATCTTCATCTGGAATTTCCACCATGACATTTCCCAAATCTGTTATAATCCTCAAGAACTCATCTATGTTGTTTTCAACTGACTGAGACTCATTCATCTTAAAACCGTAGAGCTTTTGTTTCAGATACATCCTATTTGGCAATGACTTTGACATGTACTGTGAATCCAAGATCTTCAACATTCCAATAGCAGTCTGTTCTTTTATGA